CTGCCCCAGGCTCTCCTGGTTCCCACAGAGCTGTTTGGGCTGAGCGAGGAGGTTTGCAGGAGATTGGATGAGCGAGGACCAGGCTAAGATGAGCCCCCGCCGTGTGTGGCCCTCATGTTTGGGAACTGCTTCTGCATTTGGGACGACATCAGCCCCAGGTTTCTGTGTTCAGGGGACTGCCCGGAGAGGTTTGTGTGGGCACTGGCTCCCGCATGTCCCAGCCTTGTTTCATGGGGTGAGGGGGAAGGTCAGCAGCAGCAGCAGCACTTGCTGTTGGCAGGCGGAGCCCCCAGCTCCCAGCTCCCCTGAACGTGTCTCCAGCTTCACCGATGCAGACCGGCAGCACTACTGTGCCCCTACAGCTGTCTGAGCTCTTGCCCGGGGCACGGTGGCCCTGTGGTGTGACAGTGGCGCCAGCCACGCGGCCGTGCTGCTGGGCAGGCAGTTCCCCAGCCCAGCCCAACCTCTGGGTGATGATGGCCAGGTGCTGCCGTGCTCCTGTCATGGAGGTGAGAAGCAGCAGCAGTGGCGGGGGCAAAGGCAGTTGTTTGCTGCTGAGACAAGGGCTGTGGTGGAGCAGCCCATGGTATGAGGAAGAGTTCCTCCTGCCCCATGGGACCTCTGTTGATTGAGTGCACTGCATGGGATGAGTTTGACCAAAACCCTTTATTGGTAAAAGTGTTTTCTCAGGAGAGGCATCCTTCTGGGTCTTGGCTGGGCGTGGGAGCGCCAGCAGCGGCACCAGCGTCGGCGAGTTCCTCGTTCTCATCTCCTTGCACGCCACAAGGTGAGGTGCTGGGTGAGAAGGGAGGTGGTCTGCTACGCTGGTCCCTCCGCTTGGCCTGCCATGGCTGTGTCCTTCAAAAGAGCAGGACGCTGCGAATACTGAAAAATGGAAAGGAAGGGAGGGTTACAGGTGCTGTGGCTGCAGGTGTTCAGGGGCAGGCAGTTGTGCCTGAGGACCGGATGCCACCTTTCTCACCCAGCCTCTTCCTAACTCAGCTGCGTGAGATGTGCAGCGACGGGGCAGCCTTCAAAACCCTGCTGAAGGGAGGCCCTCAGGAGCTCAGGCACCCTGTCGCTCGCCAGCGCTCTTGTGCTGCGGCTCTACGAGACGTTTGCCCTTCCTTTGGCCTTTTTTCTGTCGTCACCAAGGCTGCCCCTCGCTCCTCGTTCTCTTTCACCTGCCCTGTGCTTTCAAACAGTGCCCTGAGATGTGGTGTCTGAGGGTCTGTGCTGGCTTCAGTGCAGTGCCACGGCTGTGGGATCTCTGCTGAGCTGAACTATGGGCAGGAGGGTTCCCTGTGCTTAGCGCGGGCTCTTCCCTCTGGGTTATGGCAGATCTTCCCGACACATGGCTCTGGTCCCTGGTTCGTCAAAAGGCTCGGATGGTTTTTGAGAAGGCAGTATTGCCTGCTTTGCCTGCCTGAGTGTTTGGGCTGTTTGAATTTTAGGTGGAGGTGACGCCTGCTGTACCTCGCTCCTGCTAGTCAGGGTCTCACCTTTTTCCTGCGTGTAACAACTCAAATCCCTCGTTCACTTTCGCGATCGGCAGCGTGTGCGTGATCAGCAAGTCTGAGTTGAATTTCTTCTCCAGATAGCTGGAAACTAATTTTGGGATAGAATCTCTCATCTTCCAACCTAGAAACGGGAGAAAGCACCTGCAGTGAATAATCGGAGAGATGCTGTTTTGGTAAGGTAATGTTTGTAGAGCTTGCTGGTGCCAACAGTGTAGCAGCTCTCCTCTGCGCAGAATATGAGAGCCGACCAGGGCTTGTCCCCTCTACGAGGCTGTGCTGACCTGTAAAACATACTTGAGGCTATGCCCTTGTGAAGTGCGGTAGCTGCTCCTTGGAAGGCATCAAAATTAATAGGATGAGGCTGAGAATGTGAGAGGGTCCCTTCTTTGAGCTGGGAGTATAGCTGGAGGGAGTGAGAAGATCCTTGAGCTGCACCAGCCCCTCCTCTGGCATAAGACAGAAGCACTTGCACTGCAGTGAAATGCCAGCTGAGATGTGTGATGGAGGGGTGGGGATGAGAGAAAGCGAGGGAGTGGGAGAGGGGAGAAGAGTCTTGTGGTGGAAGGAGGAGCAAGGTGCAAGAGGAAGGTGTTAGTGGGGCAACAAGGAATTGCTTTCACGGGACATTTTTAATCTTCCTACATATAGTGGACTGAGTGACCAGTACTGGTGTATTTGTCTTGTGAGAAGTTTTCCTCTCCTTCGGAAAAGCTTGCTCATCAAGGGCAAATCAAGCCCGAGTAACCTAGCAGCCTTCTATGATGGAGTGACTGTATCAGTGGACAAGGGAAGAGCTATAGATGTCATGTACCTGGACTTCTGTAGGGCCTTTGGTATGGTCCCCCACAACATTCTTGCTGCTAATTTGGAGAGAGATATGGGTTTGATGGGTGGACTGTTAGATGGATAAGGAATTGGCTGGATGGCCCCATCCAAAGAGTGAACGGCTCAATGTCCAAGTGGAAATCAGTCAGGAGCGGTGTTCTTCAGGGGCCCGTACTGGCACCAGTGCTGTTTAGTATCTTCATCAGTGCCACAGACAGTGGGATTGAGTGCACCCTCAGCACGTTTGCAGATGCCGCCAAGCTGAGTGGTGCAGTTGAGGGAAGGGATGCCATCCAGAGGGATCTTGGCAGGCTTGAGGAGTAGCGGGCCCATGGGAAGCTCATGAAGTTCAACAAGGCCAAGTGCAAGGTCCTGCACGTGGGTTGGGGCAATCCCCAATATCAGTACAGGCTGGGGGATGAATGGACTAGGAGCAGCCCTGCAGAGAAGGACTTGGGGATACTGGTGGGTGAAAAACTGGACATGAGCCGGCAACGTGCACTTGCAGCCCCGAAAGCCAACCGTATCCTGGGCTGCAGAAAAAGAAGCGCAGCCAGCAGGTCGAAGGAGGTGATTCTCCCCTTCTACTCCACTCTTGTGAGACCCCCACCTGGAGTACTGTGTCCAGCGCTGGGGGCCCCAACCCCAGAAAGACATGGACCTCTTAGAGTGGGTCCAGAGGACAGCCATGAAAATGGTCAAAGGGCTGACACCTCTGCTATGAAGAAAGGCTGAGAGAGTTGGGATTGTTCAGCCTGGAGAAGAGTAGGCTCTGGGGAGACCTTACTGCGGCCTTTCAATGCTTATAGGGGGCTTACAAGAAAGATGGAGAGAGACTTTTACAAAGACTTGTGGTGACAGGACAAAGGGCAATGTTTTTAAACTGAAAGAGGGCAGATTTGCACTGGACACAAGGAGGAAATTTTTTACGATGAGGGTGGTGAGACACTGGAACAGGTTGCCTGGGGAAGTTGTGTGTGCGCTGTCATTGTTCGGTGTTCAGGGTCAGGTTGGATGAGGCTTTGAGCAACAGGTTCTAGTGCAAGATGTCCCTGCGCACAGCAGAGGTGTTTGACTAGGGGATCTCTGAAAGTTCCTTCCAACCCAAACCATTCTGTGATTCTGTGATTTGGGAACTACCATGAAAGGAAAAGATGGAAAGGTCTAAAATGTTTTCTTGAGTTTCCTACCTCCAAGCAGTGTCCCCTTCAATGTACGCCCAGACAGCAGAAGCACAGGATCGATGGAAATCACTGAACCAGAAGCTAGTACCCCAACTATCACGCAGACGCCGGTGTTCATGTTGCAGGAAGCCAGGGCAGCAGCCTGATGAGACAGGCAGGTGAATTAGAGAATGCACTGGTGAGTTTGTTGGAAAAGTGTTCTTTCTGCGCAGTCATCTGGCCCTCCCTGGTAATCTGAAAACGCGTGAACTTGGAGAGCTCAGTGCCTGTCCTGAGACTCGTGCATCATTTTCTCCCAAAGCCGACAGACTGCCTTTCTGAGCAAAGATGTGCCCAGCAGTGCAGCCAGCAGGCAAGGAACTGCCCACTGGGCTGCATTTTGCCCCGACGGGAGCCTGTGAATGAGCTGGGTGGGAGGACACATGCTGAAATGCCACTTACCGTGGTATCCGCGTGCCCGATGACCTCAAAGGAGTAGTCCACACCGTGGCCGGTCATCTCAGTGAGCACCTCCTGGATGGGCTTCTTGAAGTCCCGAGGACTGATGCAGTCGGTGGCTCCCAGCTCCTTGGCCTTGGCAAACTTGTCCTTGTTGATATCAACGGCAATGATGCGGGCAGCTCCAGCCGCCTTGCAGCCCATGACAACAGAGAGGCCGACTCCTCCGACGCCGAAGACGGCGCAGGTGGAGCCTGGCTTTACCTGCACAACATAGGGCCCTGTGAGTCTCCAGCACGAAGAGAAGGTTTCTGTTGCGCAGGGTTAGTGAGGGTGCGAGGGCGGCCGTGGGCTGCGTGTGCTCGACATGCCCGAATACCAACCTTGGCGGAGTTGATGGCAGCCCCGTAGCCTGTGGTAAACCCACAGCCAAGCAAGCAGACTTTGTCCAGAGGTGCAGCAGCATCTATCTTGGCAACGGCGTACTCCGGGATCACGGTGTATTCTGCAAAGGTGCTGGCCCACAGGAAGTGGTGGATCTGCTTCCCTTTGCAAGTGAACCGGCTGGTCTTGTCAGGCAGCAGGTTTTGTGATTCAGAGATGCTGTTGGGGGGTGCATGCATTTGTTTTTCATCAAGTAAAGCACCCCTGGAGCTGTCAGCCTTGTTGACAGACAGCCGATTGCATTTAAGTGTTGGGGAAGAAGCAGCAAACTCACTGGCACTTCAGGCAGTAGTTGGATTCGGGATTCAGGCAGAAGCTGCATTCCCCGCACTGTGGAATGCAAAGGGGGATGACTTTGTCTCCTGCAAGAAAGCAGATCCCTGTTCAGTGCCTCTCGCTCAGCAGGCCGCGGGGGTGCTGCCTGTTGGGGCGCCTCTGCCGAGCTTTCCAATGGCAGCATCCTACCAGGAACCCTCTGCTTTCTCTGTCAGGAGGAAATGCTCAGAGCCCCAGTCGTGTGCATGGGGAACAGACCAGGAAAGCGCACGTGACAGTCCAGTGCAACGAGTGCGCGCTCAGGTTTTGAGCCACTGACGCAGGTACAGGGGAGAATTTCTGAGCTCTGGGCAGCTGCAGCCGCTTTGAGAGCTCACTCCTGGGCGTGTGTTTGTGTGTGTTTCCAGCTTACCTGGTTTCACAGAGGTCACTCCTACTCCAACGCTTTCCACGATCCCAGCTCCTTCGTGGCCTGGGATGACTGGGAAATGCACATTAGGAAATTTACCTTCCAAAACATGGTCATCTGTGCGGCAGATGCCTGTGGCCACAATCTGTTTGGAGGGGAAAGAGCAAATGAGCTTTAGAAATGGTCTGGCCTCTGTTTAACTCAGTTTGTGGCAGGATTTTTCACCGGGCCTCTCTGGATGGATAAGGCCTATTAGTGGACACCGATCCCTGACAGGTATATTCAAGGTATACAAGAGCAATTCCCACAAGGCAGAAAAAAAGTATTGACATGTGTTTTTACCTTGATACGGACTTCACCTGCCTTTGGAGGTGCAACCTCTACCTCCTCAACAGAGAGTGGCTTGCCCACGGCCCAGGCAACAGCAGCTCTGCATCTGATAACCTGAAAGCAACAGAGGGGATTACGCCGTGTGGGAACGTTTGCCTTTGGCACACGGACGGGGACGGTCGTCTCACAATCACCTAAAACAGAGCTGCGCAGCGTGTGTCTCTGCACGCTGGAGTCGGGGACTTGCCGGGTGGGAGGGATGTGGTGGAAGGGCAGAAACACGGGAGCGCTCAGCTGTACACAAAGCCAAGCGACGTTCAGTAAACACTGGCGCAGTGTGAAGTGTGAAATGGAAAGATGAAGTGACCA